AAAACTAAGAAGACTCTAAAATATTTTAAGTTTGTTTAAACAATAATAAACTCGTATATTAACATAACATTTTTCTTTAGGAGAAATAAAACCAGAAATAGTGAGAAACGTGGCATTGTTTTACATTTATGAAAATCTCTTCAGTATCTGGGTTAGCAGAAGATACATAGATTCTCATATCTGCTTCACACACTTCATTAGCTCTCAGGGCTATGATGGCATCACATGTCATACAGCAAAATGTGTAGGAACTTTTTCTCTACATCTTTCTCCACATCTCTCCTCGAATAAGTTTCCTCTAGCCCCTTAGCCGAATTTGTGTTTTGTTTCACCCTTACTTCTCTTGATCCAACCAGATAAAGTTATTATATGAATTAGCTGCTATTCAAACAGGAAGAGTCAATCTTTGTAATTCAAATAGAGGTTGCCTTTTTCCATAAATTCTCAGTTCTAGTAGTTATGATTCTTTGGAAGCCAGTTTAAGAATGGCTATCATTGTTAGAGTTTTAAGAGTTCAAAAATAACACCTTTTTTTCTTCTTCTTGAGTTGAAAACCAGTAAGAGAGAAATACTGGACAGATAACTACTAGAAAGCAGGACTGTAGATCTGCAGCTGACTTGTTCACCCGCTCTTGGGTGGCATGGACCACTGCAGACTTCCCCTGAAAGGGCAGATCAGAAAAAAGAAAATCCAGAAGGGGCTGAACCACATGGCCCAGCATCTTCCCCAGACTTTCCAGTCATCTGTCATTCCTTTCCTGCTAAGCAAGAGAGGGAGAAAAGAGGCCAGGGATCTTATTCCAGAAAGAACTGGAAGTAATTGTCCCCCCTCTTCTCAACAAGATGCTTGTTTATGTTTTATCTTTTATAAATGTGGACAACAGAGTTTTACTGTCATGAATTAGTAAAGGCTCAACAGCCACCCTCTCTCACTCAGTAATGACTAGCATAAGAAAGCTTAAGATCACCTTTCCAAAACTCAAATCATCATTTATTTCCCTGTACTCTCTACAACATTGTTAACAGAACTATTGAACAAGTCAGTTCTTTAGACAGAGTCCATGTTGCAGTTTGCTTATCATGGGGTTATTAGATATTACACGGCTTGAAAAAATAGATGTCTTGTGAAAACTCTAGTGAAATTTGAATAGTCATGCGATCTGTTTTGTAAGTTTTTAGGCTAAAACTGTCAGGGTGTGTGCCCATTATGAATCAAGTTTAATTATAATACATTCATGGGGGATGATGTTCTAGGAAGTGTAAAATCCAGAAACACAGGTTACTGAATTTTAATCCCAGCCCTGCCATGCACTAGCTATGCAACCTCAAACAAGTTCTAGTTCCATATCTTCTCTCGGCTTCATTTAACACTTTCCTCATAAGAGTGTTATGAAGCTTAAATAAGAAAATGCAGGCAAAGCATTTATTAGGTTTGGGGCACAATAATTGCTCAGTATAGGTTCATTTAATATTATGTATATTACAAGAATATTATTTTTATGTATTTTTGTAATCCAGAACATTAGGCAATTATATAACATATAACGTATTATTTTACTCCCTCATTTTCTGATTTCTGCTTTTTCTGGGTTAAGTTTTAGCCATTGATCTATACTGAGGGGCATTATAAAACAGCTGTTTGAAACTTACCATCTTCATTCAGGAAGAGTTGTTGGGGACTATGTTTCATAGCATCATCTCTGTAAAGACTTTGGGGAAAATAGTTCCTACAGGTCTCAGTCTAAAGAATTGATGTCCCTTTCCCATACATTGGGTTTGTGTTTCTATCTTAAATTGTATGACAGAGCATGTTTCCTTTTTTAAATTGCTATTGAAGAAGCTCGGCAACAAACCTGCAGCCCTCTGTTAACGAAGTGGACTCTATGTTGTGACATATATTTTAAATACTAATCTTAATCTTCACCTCTTTCCCCCACCTCATCTTTATATTCTCTTCCTCCCCAGTTTCTTCACATAATTTTTATCTTCTTTTTTCTACATCTTTGTAAGAGACTACACATACTTTCCGAATGAGAAGAAACATAGATATATATTTAAAATAAAAATGTGTGAGTGTAAAATAAATCTTTAAACCTTAGGAACATACTTGACCTAATGAAATAGTTGTGGGTAATTTCATTTGATTAGTTTTTTGGTCATTGTATAAAACTGGTTTGAATTAAAATGCTTTAGGTGATTTGTGACCTGGGTGGCTGTACGACGTCACTACAGTGTCACTCATCTCCCTTGAGCTTGTGATTATATGCTCTTCCATATCAAGCACATAACTGTATGTGTTGTTGCTCTTGCCTAGCAGCTGTGCAGATAAAATTGGCGTGTTTCTCTTGTATTCTTTTTTTTTTAACAAATTTATTTATTTATTTATTTTTGGCTGTATTGGGTCTTTGCTGCTGTGTGCAGGCTTTCTCTAGTTGTGGTGAGTGAGGGCTACTCTTCATTGCGGTGCGCGGGCTTCTCATTGTCATGGCTTCTCTTGTTGCAGAGCACGGGCTCTAGGTGCGCAGGCTTCAGTAGTTGTGGCACGTGGGCTCAGTAGTTGTGGCTTGCGGGCTCTAGAGCGCAGGCTCAGTAGTTGTGGCGCATGGGCTTAGTTGCTCCGCGGCATGTGGGATCTTCCCGGACCAGGGCTTGAACCCGTGTCCCTTGCATTGGCAGGCAGATTCTTAACCACTGCGCCACCAGGGAAGCCCTCTCTTGTATTCTTGAGTGAGTAGAGTTAAGGTTTTAGAGTGCCACAAAATGGTAGGAATGGAGTATCAAAAAGACTTAACAATTAATGCATCCTTTATAAGGGAAAGTGAGGTTAAGGTGACAGAGCAGATTGTGGGTACTGAAAGAATTATATATAGCAGGGGGAAGAGTTATATATAGCAGGCAGGAAATGTATAACCAGCGGGACCAAACAATCAGAATTTTTGTTTGCTGTTGGCTCACGTTCTATTTAGGGAATATTTTGAGGTTTTATATTGTTTTAGTAGTTTCAAGGTATTTTATGTCTGTTTACAGTGGTTATAATTATTTTCTGCTTTTGAAACCCAAATCTTGAATATTGAAAACTATTATTTTTCCCTAATCCTGATTTCCTTCCCCCCAAATCTAATCAGTTATCAAATCCCATTACATCTTCCTTTGAATTCCCATTAGTCAAATTAGGGACTATAGGAGGCGAGTTTAAAATTCTATTAATCTCTAAATGGCCACAGGTCTCTGCCCATAATCTCTAGTCTTCTTGCCTAGATTCAGTAGACTCTTAAAGAGTTCTTCATGTTTGGCCTTTTGCTTCTCAAATTCATTTTTATACCTCATCAGCAAGTGAACCTATTTCATTGCCATCATGGCTGGCTATCTGTTGCCTACAAGACTATCTAATGATGATTCAGCTTCTCAAGTGATACATCATTAGGATGAGTTAGTGTTAATTGCACTAGTGGTAGTCTCAGAAAGTGGAAATTCCTTTTAGTTTGTTTTAAGGATGCTAAGAAGTAATAAAGTTTTCCCTAAGAATTTTAGATATTCCAGAAATAATACTTTGTACTTTGAGGAATTTAGGACAAAATAAGAGTGTCTATAAATCATGTCTAGCATATACATATTAGCTGCTAATATAATTTCTCAGTGTTTTTTGGCTGGAATTTAATGTTTAATGCTATAATTCTGGTTTTTGATGCCAGAATGCATTTATATGCTTCTTATTTGCTTGTATTTTATTTTACATTGAACAACGTATAAGTTCTATTTTGAAATTATGGCAAAGATTCTGTAGTCAAAATCCATCACCAACACTGGAGAGACTACTAAATATGAAATTTTAAGTCTTATTCAAAGGAATTTTGGTGGCATGTGGGATCCTAGTTCCCCAACCAGGGATTGAACCTGAGCCCCCTGCATTGGAAGCTCTGGGTCTTAACCACTGGATTGCCAGGGAAGTCCTTAAAAGAATTTTAAGCCTTCTAATAGGTGTGACTCCTGTGGTCAGACTGTAATCAGCTACCTTTTAATAATAATAAGTACAAATACTATTAAAGTTGTGCAGAGAGCAGTAACACTCGTATTGTTGATATGTTTTCTTGCTTTGCAACATATATCATGGCATAACAGCTATATCAGGGGGAAAATATCATGTAGAAACATATTTATCTGTTGTTCTCAATTAAGTAGTTTGTTATGTTATTGCATTTTTCTTTGTATGATGGTTTTCTTTTTCACCACTAGAATAAACCCAGATGGTTGTTTTAATTTTTTTTTTTTTCTTTTTTTTTTGTGATACGCGGGCCTCTCACTGTCGTGGCCTCTCCCGCTGCGGAGCACAGGCTCCAGACGCACAGGCTCAGCGGCCATGGCTCATGGGCCCAGCCGCTCCACAGCATGTGGGATCTTCCCGGACCGGGACACGAACCCGTGTCCCCTGCATCAGCAGGCAGACTCTCAACCACTGCGCCACCAGGGAAGCCCTGGTTGTTTTAATTTTTATAGCATTGAAAGAAACAATGTAGGGTCCATATCAAGTTTAGAATCATAATTTTCAAAAATGAGTCACAAGACATATATACATATTGATTAGTAATTAAGGCATGGCCATATCAATAATAGCAATGCTATTTGGAACAAGAATCAAGTAGAATGTACTAGCTTTTCCTTGTAGTAGTTTTTCCCTTCGAGTTACTAACTTGATATGAGATTGCGTCTTATTTATACATTACAAATGCTTATTCTGTTTATGGCTATATAGTATAAATAGCATGTGCTAGCGTTTAATAGAGTTTATAATTTTCTGATAAATTTGGTATTTGGTATATGGCATGTAGTTTTTTAAAATAAAAGTTTATACATATGAACAAAATAGACTGCATTCTGAATGTGTGCATATCAATATGTCAGCCTTAAAAAGTTACTAAAATGATTAAAAATACTAATTACATAAATACTGTACTTTGTTTTTATAGAACTTTCACCCATAATCTTTTTTTTTTCTTTTAAAGATCAGTGGATAAGTCTGTCATAGTGTATGATACTGTAAGTATTTCAAAATCTTGTATGATCTGTATAAATTATGTTTGCTTATTAGGCTACTGAACTTCAAGTTTAGCTAGGCAAGATGAGAAAAATGTACATATTTTTTCCGTTTAGGATGCCCAAGAATATAATATATACATTTTCAGAAATGCTAAAATAGTTATGCAGGTAAGGTATTGCTTCTGGAACAAGCCCTTAAATATTTCAATAATGGTTTTAAGATAGACAGATGTTTAGTCTGATCAAAAAAAATACAGATTTAAAGAGCATCAATATTAAAAAATCACTTTAAGTCAATTTTTCTTAAACTCTTACACCAGGTTTCCATAACAACAAAGGAGTGTTTACCCGAGGGTTTTGGGAAGGTATAGCTGAAAGCGGCTTTGCCACTTTAGAGTCCCACCTGGATTTAGAGACTAGTATAAGAAGAGTAGGTTATAAAGGATTTGGAAAAATAGGGCTTTTTGGTAGATGCATGTGAATAAAGACCGGGTTGCATAAGTATGAAGAAAAATGAACATTTAATATATAGTGAAAGTATGATTGACGAAAATATTCTCCAAGAGAAATCGGTGTTGAGTGGGACCTTACAGTGGTTGAGCTTAGGTTGTAGCTATGCCAGCAAAGAAATAGAGATGTGAATTATCAAAGTGTAGTGGGTCAAGCAAGGAAGCTAAGCTAGTCCTCCACACAGCAGTTAAAATTATTGAGTTCTGGCAGGAAGTGGGCAAGAGTACTCAAACGAGGTGAAATAGATCCTTAATATTTCTCAGGAAATTTTCGCGAGACTTTACATTCACAGAAATAGCTATAATGTTAAATTTTCTCCATAAAATATGTATATGAGTCTTAGTTAAATAGATCTAGTTGTTGGATGGCCCGCTAAGTGTACTCAATATTGAAATGACTAATTTCTACTCACTGGTCTGCAGTGGGTACAGTCAAATGCCATAGCAAAAATACAAATAATTTCATGGTGGTTACTATTAGTAAGTTGAGACAAATCAGCCAGGACTATATTATACTAAAAATTTCAGCAGACAGCAGTGCTGATAATTGAGAAAGAGTGAAATAAGTACTTGATAATGTTATTAGTTATAAATGCTATTCTCTATTCATTGGGTAAAGTTTTGGTTTATATTAGTGACTCATAATATTAGAATACATAGAGTATATAAACCATTCAGGTCAAACAAGTCTTTATCAGTAGCTTTACTCTTGCCTGAGTAAATATAAAGCTGTTTGTGTTGTTTTTCAGAATACTGAGGATATACTTCACACCTTGACTCAGCACACCAGGTCTGAACTTAACCTCACTTTGTATTAATATAATTAAAAAATTGGTCTGAGGATATATAATAGTTGTTTTTATTAACTAGGTATGTCACGACTTGTGCCTTTGCACCCAATATCCTTTTACTTGCTACTGGTTCAATGGACAAAACAGTGAATATCTGGCAGTTTGACCTGGAAACACCTTGCCAAGGTTAGTAAGGATATCATGTGTAACCCAGTTCAGCACCATTCACCATTAAAAGGAGAAATTCAGTAGTTTTTTGACAAATTATTCATGTTACTTTTCTCAATATAAAGCATACATACAAATTTAATATAATTTAAAAATAATTTTAGAGAACCCAGTGTTAAAGTTAACCCATCTCCATTAAAACTGTTGGTAAATGCTTTTGGATGCACATTCATGTATATCATACCTCCCATAGTTTTGTAAGCTCTTTATTTATACTCCATACTAATTTTTCAGATAAATATAGCCTAGAACAAAATAGAAATGATAGTTTTATCTTGTTGCTTTTATTTTTGGTTTTCTCAAGCAACATTGACACTTAATTTAGGAGTTTTTTTTTTTTTTTTTTTAAGGAGTTTTATTTTTATCACTGTCAGAATTAACCAATTAGTGGTGCTGATATGCAGATGACAGATCACATATAATACTTCTGCTGATATGAATTTTATATAATAAAGATAAACTTTTTCTGGAGTGTAAAATGTTCCAAAAGAGTAGCATTTAATGTAGCGTTAAATAATACTTTATACGTAGTATTATTTGATTTTTAAAAATTTCTTAAAGGATTTTAAAGTAGAAAACACAGACTTAAGAAAATTTCATTTACTTTTTAGTACAAAGTGAGAATGTTTATAAAGGATATACCTTTTCTTGTTGTTTTTTCACTTACTTTTTGTTTGTGGGGTTTTTTTGGTTTGTTTGTTTTTAAGCAAAGATCGCAGAAGATCAACCAAAGCAATTTACTGAAGATTGGTCAGAGGAAGATGTCTCAAACTGGCTTTGTGCACAAGGTTTAAAAGACCTTGTTGGTATTTTCAAAATGAATAACATTGATGGACGAGAACTGTTGAATCTTACAAAAGAAAGTCTAGCTGATGATTTGAAAATTGGTAAGACCTAGTGAAAGTTAGGCAGTCTTAAAAACAACTTTTAATAATTTACTCTGAGATTGGTTTTAATTGCATTAATGGTTTCCTCTTAATATTCTAGCACAGTAGTAGTTCTGGTATATGTCTGTGTGTAGAAGTATAGTATATTTTTATTAGATTATGGAAGAGAAATGTTACATACTGTTTCTTTAGGTAATTAAAGCTATCATGTAACTGTAATTTTTAAAATGTATATATTTTTTAAATTGTGATATAATTCACCCTTTTATAAGTGTACAGTGCAGTGACTATTCAAGTTGTATAACCATCACCACTATCTGATTCCAGAACACGTTCATCACTTCAGAAAGAAACTCCATTCCCATTAGCAGTCACTCCTATTCCTTGTCTCTCTAGCTCCTGGCAACCACTAATCTACTTTCTGTCTCCAAGGATTTGCCTGTTCTGCATTTCATAAAATGTATGGCCTTTTGTGTCTGGCCTCTTTTGCATAGCATGTTCTCAAAGTTCATACATGTTGTAGTATATATTAGTACTTCACTTTTTTATGGCTGAATAATATTCCATTGTATGAATTTATCACTTTCTGTTCATCCATTCACTGGTTGATTGGATTTAGATTGTTTCCAGTTTTTAGATTTTATGAAAATTGCTTCTATAAACATTCATATACACGTTTCGTGTGGGCATCTGTTTTCAGTTTTCTAGGGTGTTACCAAATCATATTGACAGAACTTGGCCAGAAGAAGATGTCTCCTTTTGTGATTGGGAGTTGGGAATGCATGTTATTAAACTTAATTGCTCAGGAAGAAAAGACCCTTTACCAGCTTGAGGGCTAGTAGGTCCTCAGTATGGGCAATGAGCAACATTTGGCTATATTTAATATAACTCTGGAAAGGCATCTGGCTCTTAATAAGATGACAAATTAAATAGGCCATCAGCTCCTGTACCCTCTTCCCCACCCCTTCCCCATCCCTGGAAATGCTACATAATTGAAAACTGATGAGTCTAGACACAAATAACCATCAAATATACAAAACAGAACTCTGAAAACTGTCGAGTGGAATTGGTAGATCATATGGTAACTCTGTGCTTGCATTTGAAGAACTGCCAGGCTATTTTCCAAAGCAACTGTGCTTTTTTATATTCTCACCCGCAGTGTATGAGGATTCCAATTTCTCTGCATCCTCATCAACAATTGTTTAGTTTTTCAATTATAGCCATCCTAGTGGTTTCTCTTTGTGGTTTTGATATGCGTTTTCCTGATGACTAGTGATGTTGAACAACTTTCCATATGCTTAGTGGCCATTTGTATATCTTCTTTGGAAGAATGTCTGTTCAGATTCTTTGCCCATTTTAAAGACTGGGTTATTTGTCTTTTTATTGTTGAGTTGTTTATATAAATTTAGATACTAGACCCTTAATCAGATATATGATTTATAAATATTTTCTCCCATTCTGTGGTTTATCATTGCGCTTTCTTGAAAGTGTCCTTTGATGCACAAAAGTTATAAATTTTGGTGAAGTCCAGTTTATCTGTTTTTTTTCTGTCATTGCTTGTGCTGTAGGTGTCGTATCTAAGAAACCCAAACCTAATCCTGAATCTTGAAGATTTACACCTGTGTTTCTTCTATGACTTTTATAGTTCTAGCTCTTACATTTAGGTGTGTGATCAATTTTGACTTAATTTTTGTATATAATGTGAGGTAAGGGTTTAGCTATATTCTTTCAGATGTATATATCCAGTTGTCCCAGCACCATTTGTTGAAAAGACTATTCTTTCCCCTTTAAATTATCTTAGCACCCTTGTTAAATATCAGTTGACCATAAATGTGAGGGTTTATTTCTGGACTCTCAATTCTATTTCACGGATCTATTTGTCTGTCCATATGCTAGTGCCACAGTGTCTTAATTATTATAGCTTTGTAGTAAGTGTTGAAATTGAAAATTGTGTGTCCTCCATCTCTGGATTTTTCTTCTCTCCAGGATTGGTTTTGCTCCTTTGGGTCCCTTGGCATTTCCATAGGAATTTTAGGATCAACTTGTCAAATTCTGCAAAAAAGCCACCTGACTTTGATGGGGATTATACTGGATTTCTACATCAGTTTGGGGATTATTGTCATTTTAACAATATTAATTCTTCTAATCCATAAACACAGGATTTTTTTTTTTTTTTTTTGCGGTACGCGGGCCTCTCACTGTTGTGGCTTCTCCCGTTGCGGAGCACAGGCTCCGGACGCACAGGCTCAGCAGCCATGGCTTACGGGCCCAGCCGCTCCGCGGCATGTGGGATCTTCCCGGACTGGGGCATGAACCCATGTCCCCTGCATCGGCAGGCGGACTCAACCACTGCGCCACCAGGGAAGCCCAGTACAGGATATTTTTATGTTTTTTCAGGTCTTCTTAATTTCTTTTTCAACAATGCTTTGTAATTTTCAATGCACAAGTCATTTTTTCTTAAGTGTACAATCCACTGGTTTTTAGTGTACTCACAGAGTTGTACAACAGTCACCACTATCTAATTGCAGAGCATTTTTTTTTTTTTTGCGGTACGCAGGCCTCTCACTGTTGTGGCCTCTCCCGTTGTGGAGCGCGGGCTCAGCGGCCGTGGCTCATGGGCCTAGCCGCTCTGCGGCATGTGGGATCTTCCCGGACCAGGGCACGAACCTGCGTCCCCTGCATCTGCAGGCAGACTCTCAACCACTGCGCCACTAGAGAAGCCCTAATTGCAGAACATTTTTATCCCCCAAAAGAATCCCATTCTTTCCTCTTTCTAGCCTCTTGGCAACCACTGATCTATCTTCTGTAGAAATAGGATCTACCTATTTTGGACATTTCTTTTAAGTGGAACCATACAATATGTGGCCTTTCGTATCTGGCTTTATTAATTTAACCTTTCAAGGTTCATCCATGTTTTTGTATGTGTAAGTACTTCCTTCCTTTTTATGGCTGAAAAATACTCCATTGTATGGCTATACCACATTTTGTTTATCCACTCATCAGCTGATGGTCATTTGAGTTGTTTCTACTTTTTGTCTGTTATCAATAATGCTGCTGTGAATATATATGTATGAGTTTTTGTGTGAGTATATTTTCATTTCCCTTGGATATATGATTAAAAGTAGAATAACTACATATACCATTTTGAGGAACTGGCAGACTGTTTTCCAAAGCAGCTGTACTATTTTACATTCCCACCAGCAGTGTGTGAGCTTTCCAATTTCTTCACCTCTTTGTCAGCACTGGTTATTACCTATCTTATTGATTATAGCCATTCAATAGATGTGAAGTGGTATTTCATTGTGGTTTTTGATTTGCATTTACCTAATGATATGGAGCATATTTTCGAGTGTTTATTGGCTGTTTGTGTATCTTCTTTGGTTAAAATTGGTTTGTCTTTTTATTGTTGAATTGTAAGAGTTGTTTTATGTGTTCTGGTTATTATCAATACATCCTTATCAAAAACAGTTTGAAGTCTTAGTGTTGTGCTCTAATGAACATAATACTCAGACGCTTATCAGTGTGCTCTAGTAAAATCTTAATTAACCAGAAAGCTTAGGAAATAGGATGTCCATAGTGAATTTACTGTTAATGAGGAGTCAAAGAGCAAAAAAGTGTTTGTTACAGAAAATCATCTAAAGTATAGTAGTATACTTTCATTACATAGTAAATATAGTATGTGAACCTATTTAAGTGTCTTGGAAGCTTATGGCCTTTTAAGAAGTTAATAGAATGATGCTTTTGTGAAAATAATTAGAATCAGATGGTTTTGTACTCAGGCCATACTGTGAAAGCTATTTTTGTATCTCTAGTAACTTATTTCCTTTATAGTTTACTCTTTCTTCCTGAAAGTAGGTAATAGAGTACAGGGGTTTTTTTGTTTTTGTTTCTTTTTTTAAGTTCTGGTGAATTTAGCATGTTCATTAGCTGATTTCTCATTACTCTCTCACAATAAGTTTTAACAATACCTTATCACACATGACAATATAAAATAATAATTTCAGATTTCAACAAAGGATGTTTCAAAACATAAGAGAGCATAGTAAAAACAATAGGAATAGAATTCTGTCCCAATAGCCCGATAAATAAAGTATAAGAAATTCTTACAGGATTCAATTAGTGGCCTGAAATAGTTTTTGAAGGTGAGTCTCGGGTTTAGTAGTTATGATCATTTTGACGTTCAGTGAAATAAGTTTTGGAACTACCAGGCTCAAGCCAAAATTGAAATATAATTTAAATAAGTCTGCTGTGGTCTAAAAGCTGAATTAGGAAGATCATTATAAACGGAGACAAGAACATTGCATACTCTCTAGTAAGTAAGGAATTTGCTTTGTGTTTGTGCTTAAGATTTGGAAAGTTAGCAAATACAACAAATTAAATACAGAATAAATTAGTAAGTAAATTTTTAAATAAATTTTTAAATAATTTTTTTTCTACATCATTCTACAGTATCAATATTTTAAAGTTTTTGCACAATTATAAAGGGTCAGCAGGCTAACATTAATCTTCTACAACTGCTACTTTAAGCTACAGTGGATTTCTGTTAGTCTTGAGTTTTAAGAAAAGTAGGCTCATCCTCAAAACAGTAAATTGGAGTAATAGAGAAGTGAAATTGGGTCTAGAAAAAAATGTGTTAAGAGGCAAACTGATGAGTATGTGATAATGAATTTTACTCTTGTGATGCATAACTATTTTACTTGCATTTGCTTTTGTGGTACAGCTGTTAAAATGGTTCCTATGTCAATGTGAATAAATATGAATTTAACATTCATCATATGAAGGAAGTTAATTAATTTTCAGTGAAGTGTATTGGAGTGTTAGGGAACGAAGTAGTATATCTATAACGTTTGACACTTAAAAATTATTTTTAAGGAGTCAAGCAGTCTATCAAATCTTTTTTCAATGAGCCTTTGTAAATATACAATAAAGGAACCTTCTGTAGATTTGAGTATCTGTTGGAACCTGGTGTTTTAACCTAGAGTAATAGTCCTTTTCTAGGATAGTGTTAATGAAAACTAAGGGTACAATAGACATACAGTTTTAGGTAGGAAATAACTCCTTATATCTAGTGCTATATTTGCATAAGGAATATCCAGAAAGAGATTACAGGTACAAGAGATCCTTGATATTAAGAGAGGTATGTCTTAAGACATATGTGTATCCATGAATTTGTGAACTCTACGATAGCCTTTAATATTGCAACCAAAAGGCATAAAGTATGAAGATAAAGAGCAAGGAAGTCTCTTTGAGATGTGATCCTAGGCAAGCAGTAAGTCCACTAACTAGCCACGTGATTTTCATCTGCAGTTTGGCTTCAGGTTATATCCAGGACTCAGGAATATTGCAAACTGCTACCTATCTTGGAGTTTGGAATTGCTGTAGACGATATAACGGTAGAACCATGGAATGACAAACGACAAGGAACTATTGTATATTGTGTCAGTCCTTACCCTTATATTCAACTAATTATCAGTCATAGATTTATCAGTCATAGATTCTTAATTGGGAATGAGGTTTCTTCAAAGCGTTCCTTCTTCTTTTTGCTCATGTCTTTCCAAGAAACCATGAAAGCACTTGAGACATTTTTATCATTTTCTGCTTTAAAAATTATAATATCAAATTATTATATCAAATGCTTTTTAAAACTTTATGCACCAGCTGTCTTAACAGCCTCAGATTTTGGAAGTTTCATGTTTCAAATTCTAGTAATACTTCCTTATGTAGACTTTCACTTGTTGCCTAACTGCATATACTGTTAAGTAATAAGAACATTTACCATTTTTTCTTTACACACAATTGAAGTGAAATAGTCCTTTCACATGTATAGGCCTGTGCACTGACCTGCTGTTAGAGTGGGCATAACCCTTCCAGTTCAGCTGCTGCTCTTAAATTGGCCTACCCCACTTTCCTGAGAGTAGGGCATTTCGGGGTCTCCATTCCTCAGGCCTATCAGATGTCCTGTTGCTTCCGCATTGATATCAATCACAGGTCTTATGGATGTTGGTGGTTTATTCTCTTCCACTTATATAGCGGGATTCATGAGGCTACCCTGCTACCTTGTTTTTTGGAAGTGTCGGTGGGATTTGATTTTGCTATCTCGTTGCTCTGTTTTTATGTGGGGATTCAGAGAAGTTTAAAAATTATATTGCTTCTATCACCATCTTCTCTAAATCCTTTAAAAAATCCCTACTGTACCTATAGTTTTGTGTCCCTTTTCTTTCCTAATACAGTTTTATGTCTTGTTTTCTCTTGATCTTTCAAGTCAGAAGTTTGTTAATAAATTTTATTTTTAAAAAATAAAAAGTTTTTAAGTTCTTTTCTCCAAGAAACCAGCTTTTGATTCTGTTGTTCTGTCTCAGGGCATTGCAGAGGTGATTCAGTGACCAGCCCAATGGGCTGTAATTGTTAGTCCAGGCCATAGCGCTCTCTTGTTACCCTGCCTCCAGCTCATGCTGGTGTTGCTGCCTTAGCAATGATATTTACAGGACAAAGTTGGGGAGAGTGAAGGCTACAAGTAGAAAGGTATTTCTTCCATTTGTGTACACAAATCTCTGCTTTAAGCTGTTTCCCATCCCCTACTCTGGAACCTAGTTAGTTCTGTTTCCTTGAGGGTTTTCTGAATTTTGTATTTTTGATGGTTATTTGTGTCCAGACTCCATCAATTCTCAATTATGTAGCATTTCCAGGGATGGGGAAGAGGGTACAGGAGGTGATAGCCTATTTAATTTGTCATCTTATTAATAGCCAGATGCCTTTTCAGAGTTATAGTAAATATAGCTAAATATTGCCCATTGCCCATACTCAGGGTTTACTAGCCCTCAGCTGGTAAGGGTCTTTTCTTTCTGAGCAATTAAGTTTAATAACACTCACTGCCAAACCCCAATCACAAAAGGAGATGTCTTCTTCTGGCCAAGTTCTGTGGATATGATTTGGTAACTGCTTGCCTGAGGGCATTCTTAAATGACATTAAAATTAGACAAGGGTAACACACAATTTAACCTTACCCAGTACATTTTGAAATAGGGTTTCTATATTCTTTATTAATAAACATTCTAAATATTGGCACACATGTATATTCGACAGGGTAATATATATATTGTTTTCAGAATATTAAATACCTCTATATCCTTATTACATGTTGTATAATTTTCCCCTTCAATGATATGACTTAATTATGTTAGTTACGTAATTATTAATGTGTCTAATTAGTCTAATTATAAAAGTGTTTATAACATGGTGCTTTTAAAAAATTGTATTAAAAATCCTCAATTTTGTTTCAATGAATTACATAGGAGGTAAGTCATAGGAAAGCAGTAAAGCAGTTCCTAAGATGTAGGCAGCTGCTAGGTTGACTTACCGTACTTGCATAGATATGGTCAATGAGTCCAAATAGATTTGAACAGTTTATTACTCATGGCACAGCAGGCAGCATGAGCTTCATATTTAAATTGGTTGCCCTTTCCACCTAGTCTTGTGGGGGCAATTTGTGTTGGTGTCATAGCTGAGGAACCCTGAGTTTATGAACCCCCCCCCCCCAATCTTATAAAGGGACTGCTAGCAAACTAGTCCAAGAGGAAGACATTATCTTTATTCTTGTCAGGAAACAAATCTGCCCTCAGACTGGGAGGGAAACACTATCTCTAGCTTCCAAGTAAGTTTGCAGACATCCTTGAAAAGATTGCTAGACAAAAGGTGTCATAAGGTGTGTATAAACACATGGAGAATTACCTTCCAATCAGAAAGAAAACTGATTTGACTTTTTATGGGAACTCAGAGGTGTTCTGAAATGTTGTTCTTTTTTCCTACCCACCCTACACCCTCCAAACACCTCCACCTAAAATAGAACTGTCAGCTAGATTATCTAAAAATATAAACAGATAATCACACTAAACTTCCTAAACTTCATTGTATTAATCTTCCCAAAATTAAAAACTAAGATAATTTTAAAAACTTAAGATAAAAGTAATACAAATGAATGAAACATACGTGTAGAGTCTTGGACAAACATATGAACTTTATTTGAGATTGTGTTTCATATGAGAATCAGCAAATAATATACCCAATTTCATGTTTAAAAATAGATGGAATTTTTATATTATCAAATTGAACATCTTTAGAAATGATTTTTAGGAAATTTTTTGTTGTCTAAATAAATTAACCTATAATAATGAGCCTTTTCTGATTTTGTGTGGTATATTAGTATTTGGGCAATCTGAAATTCTTGAGGAACTTTGAGAATCAAAAGTTATTTAGAATAAACTTGCTGAGTTATTTTAATCACACAGTATTCTATACTACAAATATTGATTAAAGAATTTATAAAAAGGTTCCATGTGGTAAAACAGGATGTCTGAAGATTTTTGGTTGTAGTAGATGAAATTTCTCTTTGCTGAAGACTTGCATAAAGGTTAGAAGTAATAGTTCTCCAGCCCTAACAGAATAATTTATTTTCAGAATCTCTAGGGCTGCGTAGTAAAGTTCTGCGGAAAATTGAAGAGCTCAGGACAAAGATGAAAACGCTTTCCTCTGAAATTCCTGATGAATTTATATGTCCAATAACTAGGGAGCTTATGAAAGATCCTGTCATCGCATCAGGTATGTGATGCTATTCTAAGTTTCAGGGCATATTATGTACTAAATGAATAAATAATGTAGACAGTTCACAGAAGTTTGTGTTTAAATGTGAAACTTTTTCAAAATTTATTTCTCATAAGTTCTTTTTTTTTTTTTTCTTTTTAAAAATTCCTTAGATCTGAGGTGAACTACTGAACATTGTATGTTTCTTAATGAATAAAACTGGATGGAGCAGGTTTGGATAAGATTAGAGACAAAAGAAATAATCTTGACAAGCCTTACTTAAACTTGTGAAATATGTATTTAGTTACTAGAATGTATAGTTAAAATACTGTTTTTTAAGATAGACTGTTGAGATCTATTATATTTATTTTGTCTATCATGAATTTAAACAACCTTACAGAAATAAGAATTTAAAGGATATAAAGTTACATCATTTCACATTAATTTCTAATCTTTGTAAATGAACACAGACATACATACTTTACATAGTTGTACTCAGTGAATCCATATCGTGCTTTTTATTTTTAAGACTATTATATACATTTCTGAATATTGACTTAGTCTACATAATTTTCAGTGTTAATAACTTTATTCCACTGGAGCTCTATGCTACAATTTGACTCTTCTACTATTTGGTGTATGTATATGTTTGAAAAGCTTTATATTGTTAATAGCATTGTGCTGATATCTTGGTACTCCTTTCATTGTGTTGTTACCATTACTTAGGGGTATTTTCGTGACATGTGTTCCCCAAACCAGAATTAACTGATCAGAATATATATATATATATATATATTTTTTTTTTTTTTTGGCGGTACGCGGGCCTCTCACTGCTGTGGACTCTCCCGTTGTGGAGCACAGGCTCCGGACGCGCAGGCTTAGCAGCCATGGCTTAGGCCCAGCCACTCCACGGCATGTGGGATCTTCCTGGACCGGGGCACGAACCCATGTCCCCTGCATCGGCAGGCAGACTCTCAACCACTGTGCCACCAGGGAAGCCCCCAGGATATTTTATGAATGTTAAAAAGAAGAGTTTTGATAGTTCTTGTTAGAATTTTATTAGATTGTTTTCTAGGAAAAAATAGTTTAGAATGCTACCAGAAATGTATGTAAGTGTACCTGTTTTTCCAGTTTTGTGATCATTGAATTTTATTTATTTTTTATTTTTTTAAATTTTATTTATTTATTTTTTAACATCTTTATTGGAGTACAATTGCCCCACAATGGTGTGTTAGTTTCTGCTCCATAACAAGGCGAATCAGTTACACACATACATATGTTCCCATATCTCTTCCCTCTTGCGTCTCCCTCCCTCCCACCCTCCCTATCCCACCCCTCCAGGCTGTCACAAAGCACCGAGCCAATATCCCTGTGCCATGCGGCTGCTTCCCACTAGCTATCTACCTTACTACGTTTGTTAGTGTGTATATGTCCATGACTCTCTCTCGCCCTGTCACAGCTCACCCTTCCCCCTCCCCATAACCTCAAGTCCGTTCTCTAGGAGGTCTGCATCTTTATTCCTGCCTTACCCCTAGGTTCTTCGTGACATTTTTTTTTTCTTAAATTCCATATATATGTGTTAGCATACGGTATTTGTCTTTTTCTTTCTGACTTACTTCACTCTGTATGACAGACTCTAGGTCTATCCACCTCATTACAAATAGCTCAGTTTCGTTTCTTTTTATGGCTGAGTAATATTCCATTGTATATATGTGCCACATCTTCTTTATCCATTCATCCGATGATGGGCACTTAGGTTGTTTCCATCTCCGGGCTATTGTAAATAGAGCTGCAATGAACATTTTGGTACATGACTCTTTTTGAATTTCGGTTTCCTCAGGGTATATGCCCAGTAGTGGGATTGCTGGGTCATATGGTAGTTCTATTTGTAGTTTTTTAAGGAACCTCCATACTGTTCTCCATAGTGGCTGAACCAATTCACATTCCCACCAGCAGTGCAAGAGTGTTCCCTTTTCTCCACACCCTCTCCAGCATTTATTGTTTCTAGATTTTTTGATGATGGCCATTCTGACTGGTGTGAGATGATATCTCATTGTAGTTTTGATTTGCATTTCTCTAATGATTAATGATGTTGAGCATTCTTTCATGTGTTTGTTGGCAGTCTGTATATCTTCTTTGGAGAAATGTCTATTTAGGTCTTCTGCCCATTTTTGTATTGGGTTGTTTGTGTTTTTGTTATTGAGCTGCATGAGCTGCTTGTAAATTTTGGAGATTAATCCTTTGTCGGTTGCTTCATTTGCAAATATTTTCTCCCATTCTGAGGGTTGTCTTTTGGTCTTGTTTATGGTTTCCTTTGCTGTGCAAAAGCTTTGAAGTTTCATTAGGTCCCATTTGTTTAGTTTTGGTTTTATTTCCATTTTTCTAGGAGGTGGGTCAGAAAGGATCTTGCTGTGATTTATGTCATAGAGTGTTCTGCCTATGTTTTCCTCTAAGAGTTTGATAGTTTCTGGCCTTATATTTAGGTCTTTAATCCATTTTGAGCTTATTTTTGTGTATGGTGTTAGGGAGTGATCTAATCTCATACTTCTACATGTAGCTGTCCAGTTTTCCCAGCACCACTTATTGAAGAGGCTGTCCTTTCTCCACTGTACATTCCTGCCACCTTTATCAAAGATAAGGTGTCCATATGTGCATGGGTTTATCTCTGGGCTTTCTATCCTGTTCCATTGATCTATCTTTCTGTTTTTGTGCCAGTACCATACCGTCTTGATAACTGTAGCTTTGTAGTATAGTCTGAAGTCAGGGAGCCTGATTCCTCCAGTTCCTTTTTTCGTTCTCAAGATTGCTTTGGCTATTCGGGGTCTTTTGTGTTTCCATACAAATTGCAAAATTTTTTGTTCTAGTTCTGTGAAAAATGCCAGTGGTAGTTTGATAGGGATTGCACTGAATCTATAGATTGCTTTGGGTAGTAGAGTCATTTTCACAATGTTGATTCTTCCAATCCAAGAACATGGTATATGTCTCCGTCTATTTGTATCATCTTTAATTTCTTTCATCAGTGTCTTATAATTTTCTGCATAAAGGTCTTTTGTCTCCTTAGGTAGGTTTATTCCTAGATATTTTATTCTTTTTGTTGCAATGGTAAATGGGAGTGTTTTCTTGATTTCACTTTCAGATTTTTCATCATTAGTATATAGGAATGCCAGAGATTTCTGTGCATTAATTTTGTATCCTGCCACTTTACCAAATTCATTGATTAGCTCTAGTAGTTTTCTGGTAGCATCTTTAGGGTTCTCTATGTATAGGATCATGTCATCTGCAAACAGTGACAGCTTTACTTCTTCTTTTCCGATTTGGATTCCTTTTATTTCCTTTTCTTCTCTGATTGCTGTGGCTAAAACTTCCAAAACTATGTTGAATAAGAGTGGTGAGAGTGGTCAACCTTGTCTTGTTCCTGATCTTAGTGGAAATGCTTTCAGTTTTTCACCATTGAGGATGATGTTTGCTGTGGGCTTGTCATATATGGCCTTTATTATGTTGAGGAAAGTTCCCTCTATGCCTACTTTCTGCAGGGTTTTTATCATAAATGGGTGTTGAATTTTGTCAAAAGCTTTCTCTGCATCTATTGAGATGATCATATGGTTTTTCTCCTTCAATTTGTTAATATGGTTTATCATATTGATAGATTTACGTATATTGAAGAATCCTTGTATTCCTGGAATAAACCCCACTTGATCATGGTGTATGATCCTTTTAATGTGCTGTTGGATTCTGTTTGCTAGTATTTTGTTGAGGATTTTTGCATCTATGTTCATCAGTGATATTGGCCTGTAGTTTTCTTTCTTTGTGACATCCTTGTCTGGTTTTGGTATCAAGGTGATGGTGGCCTCGTAGGAGTTTGGGAGTTCCTCCCTTTGCTATATTTTGGAAGAGTTTGAGAAGGATAGGTGTTAGCTCTTCTCTAAATGTTTGGTAGATTCGCCTGTGAAGCCATCTGGTCCTGGGCTTTTCTTTGTTGGAAGATTTTTAATCACAGTTTCAATTTCAGTGCTTGTGATTGGTCTGTTCATATTTTCTATTTCTTCCTGATTGAGTCTTGGCAGGTTGTGCATTTCTAAGAATTTGTCCATTTCTTCCAGATTGTCCATTTTATTGGCATAGAGTTGCTTGTAGTAATCTCTCATGATCTCTTTTATTTCTGCAGTGTCAGTTGTTACCTCTCCTTTTTCATTTCTAATTCTATTGATTTGAGTCTTCTCCCTTTTTTTCTTGATGAGTCTGGCTAGTGGTTTATCTATTTTGTTTATCTTCTCAAAGAACCAGCTTTTAGTTTTATTGATCTTTGCTATTGTTTCCTTCATTTCTTTTTCATTTATTTCTGATCTGATTTTTATGATTTCTTTCCTTCTGCTAGCTTTGGGGTTTTTTTGTTCTTCCTCTAATTGCTTGAGGTGCAAGGTTAGGTTGTTTATTCGAGATGTTTCCTGCTTCTTAAGGTGGGCTTGTATTGCTATAAACTTCCCCCTTAGAACTGCTTTTGCTGCATCCCACAAGTTTTGGGTCGTTGTGTCTCCATTGTCATTTGTTTCTAGGTATTTTTTGATTTCCTCTTTGATTTCTTCAGTGATCACTTCATTATTAAGTAGTGTATTGTTTAGCCTCCATGTGTTTGTATTTTTTACAGATCTTTTCCTGTAATTGATATCTAGTCTCATGGCGTTGTGGTCAGAAAAGATACTTGATACAATTTCAAATTTCTTAAATTTACCAAGGCTTGATTTGTGACCCAAGATATTATCTATTCTGGAGAATGTTCCATGAGCACTTGAGAAAAATGTGTATTCTGTTGTTTTTGGATGGAGTGTCCTATAAATATCAATTAAGTCCATCTTGTTTAATGTATCATTTAAAGCTTGTGTTTCCTTATTTATTTTCATTTTGGATGATCTGTCCATGGGTGAAAGTGGAGTGTTTAAGTCCCCTACTATGAATGTGTTACTGTCGATATCCCCTTTTATGGCTGTTAGTATTTGCCTTATGTATTGAGGTGCTCCTATGTTGGGTGCATAAATATTTACAATTGTTATATCTTCTTCTTGGATCGATCCCTTGATCATTATGTAGTGTCCTTCTTTGTCTCTTTTAATAGTCCTTATTTTAAAGTCTATTTTGTCTGATATGAGAATTGCAACTCCAGCTTTCTTTTGGTTTCCATTTGCATGGAATATCTTTTTCCATCCCCTTACTTTCAGTCTGTATGTATCTCTAGGTCTGAAGTGGGTCTCTTGTAGACAGCATATATAAGGGTCTTGTTTTTGTATCCGTTCAGCTAATCTGTGTCTTTTGGTGGGAGCATTTAGTCCATTTACATTTAAGGTAATTATCGATATGTGTGTTCCTATTCCCATTTTCTAAATTGTTTTGGGTTCGTTATTATAGGTCTTTTCCTTCTCTTGTGTTTCTTGCCTAGAAAAGATCCTTTAGCATTTGTTGTAAAGCTGGTTTGGTGGTGCTGAACTCTCTCAGCTTTTGCTTGTCTGTAAAGGTTTTAATTTCTCCATCAAATCTGAATGAGATCCTTGCTGGGTAGAGTAGTCTTGGCTGCATGTTTTTCTCCTTCATCACTTTCAGTATGTCCTGCCACTCCTTCTGGCTTGTAGGGTTTCTGCTGAGAGATCAGCTGTTAACCTTATGGGGATTCCCTTATGTGTTATTTATTGTTTTTCCCTTGCTGCTTTCAATATGCTTTCTTTGTATTTAATTTTTGACAGTTTGATTAATATGTGTCTTGGCGTATTTCTCC